AATAAATAAAAACAAAAAAGAAATTGAGAGAGATTTTAGATGTTTATTGTTCCTGCTAGAATTTCAAGTATGAGGCATTTACATAAGTTAATAAAGAAGCCTGCATATCTAGTAAATAGTAGACAAGAATTCAAATCCAGTTCTATTTGAAAGGAGATTTTGTGCACCACGACTCACTGCTTTCCTTCTTCGGGCCTCCCATTCATTATAAATTCCAGGTTCGTTGATTCTAGATTACTGAGGCTTTTACTATATTGGGTAGACTGGAACTGGCAATAATTATGAAATTTTACATGTTCTAGGTAGTTTAATATATAAACAATTTTAACAGGGTTTTCAAGCTAAGTACTTAAGCTTTTGAAATCAAATTTGTCAAAAGTCATGGAATCATAAGTGTCAAAACCAGGAGCTTCCAAGAGCACTGAATCATGGGAAGCACTATAGATATGGACTCATTAAGAGACTAGATTAGATTCTTACCTTTTAAATATTTAAATTTCACCCACAGCTTAAAATTTGAGATTTGATTGTAATCTGACATGGCTTTGTAATTAAATGTAATTGATTTCATTCTGATGAGAAGTTTCAATTAATGTTCTGTAGGACTTCCATCTACTCTCATGTTTCTTTTTAGTTTCATTTATTTCAGGAAAACTCAAAGGGTCTATAATGTGACAACTGGCAGAAACGATCCCTGGAAATTTGGGAATTCTTCATGTACTAACTGTCACAGCACGGTGTGAGTGCATGTGCACAGTGTCCACACAAAAAAATGACGACCCCGACTATTAGGTGGTTCTGAAAGGAACTGTGCACTTCGGAAAGCCCAGGCGCGGCGGCAGGTGGCAGTGCGCTGTGGCCAGCACAGCGACCCTAGTCCCGGGGCTGACCCGTCTCCAGCCTCTGGGGATGTTAGCTCTGCTCCATCTGAGCTGGAGTCTGGTTCAGTCACAGTGAACTCTGTAGTCTTTGCCACATGTCTTCTTTGTCACCACCCATTTTCCAATGTTTGCTTTTGCCTTTTTAAAAATAAATTACCATTACCACTCAAATAAATAAGAAAGATATACCAGAATACCAATGGAAAAATGGGCAAAAGACTTGAGCGAGCTAGCCTTAAAGAGAAAGTTTATTCTTATAAGCATGTCAAAAATTTAATCAGCATTTTTAGTAACCAAAGAAATAAAAGTTTAAAACTATAATTTTCATCTATCAAGTTAGCAAAGATATTTTAAAAGATGATATTATGTTGGCAAGTATTAGATGCTCTAATCATCAAGCCTAAAGGGAAAAAAAGTAAATGCCATAGGGATAGAGGGTCAAAACTTAGAATATGGATGCGTATAGGTTAAAACTAAAATACTGGAAATACAATAAAAATTCCAAAATAAAAGAATGGCTAAATAAAGTGAGACATCCATAAGATGAATTACTTTGCAGTCACTAAATTGTATTTAAAAATACCAACTTCAATTTCTTGGGAAACACCAGCAAAGTATTGTTAATTTTTTTAAAAGAAAGTAAGAAGTTCTACAATATGACTCTAACTATTAAAAAGAAGTCTATCTATAGGAAATGAACGGGTGGTAAACTGCCCAGTATTCTCAATAGCAGTTCTTAAGGCACTGGAATAATTATAAGTACTTAGTCCATGTTTGACACAGGTTAGGAGGTAGGTCTTTATCTCTGTTGTATGTCTGAGGAAACTGAGGCTCACCCAATTGTGGTGATAAAGCTATTAAACAGAGGAGCCAGGGCACAAGCTAAGGTCAACTTGCCCCAAAGCTCCTGTTCATCACATCCATGCCTTGCCCTGTCCCCTGCGCTCCCTCCGCCCCCGTAATTTAAACTTTCTGTTTTATACATTATTTAATCTGTTCTAGGGGATCTAAAAGGAGCATATATTGCTTCTGAAATTTGGAAACAAATCAGTAATGTAAACATTATACTAAAAACATGCATACTCATAAAGTTACAATTCTAAAAACTGTTTCCTCAAAAGATGTAGGGCTGTGATGATGATCTTTGAGAACTCCAACTAGTGTCTTTGGTCATAAGCATGAGCATTCTTTTAAAAAATGTAATCCCAAGTCCTAGAGGACTTCTGTGAACCAGGTCAATCGCGCAAAGTTCCTCCATTTAAGAAATACTCATCTAACACCTGCCTTTTGCTAAATACTGTGCTAGGTGTTGGCACAACGGCAGGAACGACAGTCTAAACGGCTTGGGTTGGATGTTGGGAAAGTCTTTGAGGGCTAAGGGGACATGGAAAGAGATGGGGAGAGTGAGAGTGTCAGCAATCGAGCCCTAAAAGTTCTGGCTACCTACAGGGAAGGATGGCTTTATTTTTTCAAGCTTTCCATAAGAATTTGCAGTATTTCTGAGGACCCCAGACACCCCTCTGGAAATGTACAATTTGAAGCCCGTAAATACACCCATACTTAAACTCTAACTGGAGTAATCAGATTAAATGAATGCCTTTTAACATCACACGGTGTTAATCTCCTCCACTGGGTATAGAGTGGCCCTTGTATCTGCACTTTTGGATGGTGCGATGTCTTCCTTGTTAAGTAGGCAGGGCAGGACTATCCGAAATAGGATTCTCAGCAGAAAGGCAGTTGGCAACGCTCCATTCCTTTGGGCTCCATACTTCTTTGTCCAAGCCCATCTTTTACTTTTTTATCTTTCAGCAAATTAACTTCTAATACGAAGGCCATTGTCTCTGCAAGTGTAGACTATCAGGTAAATGCTTTCTTACTTTTTAGCTGTAATCAGCTAGAATTTTTATAGATTCAGATTTAGATCTGGCCAATACAATAGTGAACTTGCCTTGTTAATTCCATTCCATGCGGAATAAATACCAAGGAATAGCTGAGGCACTGGAGGAAAAAGGGTCAGAATTGGCACAACATCTTAAGTGATTTGTTCTGTGAGTCAAGTGGTTTTTGGAATGTTTCAGATTACAAATTCAGGACGGGTGAATGCCCATGGTTCTGAGATCAGGTGTCACTGCCGGGGAAATTGAGCTTATTCAATAAATGATACCATCCCATACTTTGAAATAATAAACACTTGCTTTTGTTTTCTCAGCTCCAAAAATCACACATAAACTACCCTCCCATCGTTCCTCTCAATATTGTTTTTAAGATTTAAAAATAGTGAATAAATCTACTCTTCCATGAGTGTGCTAATTACTGTTTTAGTTTATGCTAACAGAGGAAATAGGTTAATAATAGTAACTTAGCTGGAGAAGATCAAACCGCTCATTCCTTTGAATTAATGAGTACAAATCAGCTTTTCATTAGATTTTAGTGCTATAATGTATACCTGCATGGATACCTGCTACTATTACTACAAAGAACTTTAGAAACAAATAAAGTTTAAAGTGTTTCACAGTTTACAAAATTAATACACACAGTGTCTAGCAGCTTTGAAATCAGGAGGAAAACATTATTTTCTATTACAAGAGTAAAAGTTGTTTTTCATGTCTCCAATTAAATGATTTTTAGAAGGGTTCACCACCTCAGAAAACCAGTGTGTATGAACACCGGAAATGCAGATGGCTCGGAAATGCTTCTTCTAGATGGGAACCTAACTATAAGATTCCTTTTTATTATTTGCTATAGCCATCCCACGATGGAAATCATCTTGCTGTAAAACAATTTTAAAAAATGAAACAGCTATGGGGAGCTTGCAAAGTTCTCTAGACAAACCTTTCAGTGACTCTTGAAGAAGGACGCATTTATCAAAGGGTCATGGAGGTTAGGAAACTATGCCAGGAGCCAGGGGCAGCCTCGCCAGAGCGACACGGTTAGCTCAGGTGAGCGAGTGTCCGGGGTCCGGATGGAGGCGCAGGGCGGGTCCTCGCGCGGCGGGCTTTTTTTTTTTTCTTTTCTTTTTGGCCACGCGACCCCCCTCTGCCTCCTGGAGCCCTGGGACTCCGGAGGATGGGGCGGGCTGCCTGGGACGCGCTGCCAGCAACCACCCGCTCGCTAGGAGCATCCCAGTGACCGCAGCTCGCGAGGCCAGCTCCGTCCCTCCGCCATCCTCAAGACCTCCGACATTTTTCACCGAGACTGGGAGGTAGCAAAAAGGGGAGGAAACCGCCGAGTGTCTGCGCCCAGCCTCTGCCGCAGCACATGAAGAGGAGAGGAAGAGGGAGGCTGGCGAGGAGGCAGCTATACACTGTGATCCATCGATAATAAAAAGAATCATCAACACCCACCGCCAGGGAGTCTCGAGTCCACCCACCCGGGCAGCGGCTAGGGGCTGGGTGGGCGTTCCTCCTCCTCGTCCCCTCCGCGGCTGTACATCTACCCCACGCCGAGCACACAGGAGCTCCTTTCCCTTCGACTAAGAGAAGGGGAAGGAACAAAAGAGACCCCCACCCCCTACCCGCACGGACACCTCAGATGCTCAAGGTCTGCGTTTTTGCAATCCCGTTTTTACACCTTCTCCACCTGAAATAGTGCATTTTACCAAAGGTAAAGAAAAAAAAAAAATTACCGCCCGAGGTGATCTGTCGATTGGACACTGTTAATTTCACGTTCGGTTTTCCAACAACCAACCAGAAAAATCCCGCAGGACCTCGCGCCCCCGCAGGGTATACGCCGCCCCCCGCGCAGCCCTTTCTGCCAGTCGCCCGAAGGCGCCCAGCTTCTCTCTAGGGACGCGATCAAGGGTTCCCCGGGAGGGCAGGACACTCTCCCAGCCGCCCCGCAACACGCGGGGCCAGCGGGCGGATCGAGCCGAGGCAGCAACGCGGGATTCAACTTCCCAAACCTGCGGCGCGGCCCCAGCTCCCTGCCCTGGCGCGGCGGGCAGCGCCGAGACCCCTGCACGGCAGCTTCCCCCACCTGGGCATTGGCAGTTGCACTCTCCGCCCCCTCCTGCCCTCATCTCCCTCCTCCACCACCTTGAAAAAATTCATCCATTGGTGCAAAGCAGACATTTTGCTGTCATTTACTTAGCACCGCTCGGTTTCAGAGGCAACATCTTACCCAGGAGCCTGGAGGTGTGGGCAGCGCACGGACAGGTCCGGGGGCGCGAAACTGGGCTGCTCGGTCCTCTAGCGGAGCCTGTTTGCTGCCATCCGTCCAACTTCAGCACCCAGCGGGCGAGGAGAGAGGGAGAGAGGCGAGGATGCAGGGGAGGCGGGAGGCAGAAGGGAGCGGTGGGCGGGGAGGGAGCCGGAGCAGCTCGGCTGCGCGCATGCGTCTCCCAGGCGGGCTCAGCCCCTCGCTGGGCTAGGTCTTCGGTGCCGCTTCTTCCCCGCGACGCTCGGCCGCATGAGTCACAGCCCCGCCCCTCTCCGGGTAACCCGGCCCCCGCGCGCGCCCGGGCCCCGCGCCCACGGTGCGGGGTGCCTCGGGTGGGGCTTTGGGCTCTGGAGACTCTGGTCCGGAGCTTCGCGGGAGCCTTGGAAACCAGGGAGTCTTCCTTGGTTAGAGGCTCTGGTGCTTAGGCTCCTTCAACTTCAAGTTCACCCCGCAGCCCGAGCTGTTTTATCCTGCCCCTGAGGAGAGTGCCTGGAACCCGAGCACGTCTTTAAGGGACCAAACAGCAGTGCCGCAGCGGGGTCCCGGTGGAAGCTGTACGCAGGGTGGGGGTGGGGTGGCTTTGGGAAAGAATGTGTGAAGTTAAACCAGTCTTGCATGCCAAAGAGTTCCTTAATTTGTTGAAGTCCTTGCCAAGAACTCTGACCATTTTCCCTAAGAATTATTTCTGGTGCCCTCTGGTCTCGGGCATCTGTTCGGTTTCAGGCGTCTGGACCACTGGGGACAGAGTTTTGAGAGGGAGAGCCACGGCAAGACAAGTCTTGAATTGTTGACAGAGGTGCTGATGCTTGGGGCCTGGAGCATCCTTCGGGGGCAGGGACTGCTCAGTAGCTCTCACATCTGATAATTGTCCTGTTCACAAGTGGAGCCTAGCTTGGTAGCGAGGGCGCTTTGGATACTTAACGCATCCTGAGCGCTAGATTACATCTCCCCTGATTAGACTGAAGTGTTTATGAGGGTGAATTACGGAAGCGGGTGTGTCTCTTCAGATGTGTCATCTGTGGGAAGAGGAGCGAGTTCCTGGTAGGAATGATGAGGCTTTTTTCTTGTACCTATTTGAAACTGGTCACTGGTGAATGTATGATTATCCCTTGCTTGTGAGCTCACCCATTCAGTCTTGGGATTACTTCAGACTCCTTTAGTGAACACCCTTCTGCACTCCCCCGCCCCGCAGCGCCCCCCACCCCGACCCCCACTTTGAGTTAAATGTGTCTCAGGGTTCGCTCCGGGACCTCCTTTCTCTAGTTCCATTATGAGCGCTAGTGCTCTTCAGTGTATTTCCTGGACTGGTTTGCTCTGCAAATTGTTTCTTATTGGTCTGTATGTAACGAGAGGTGAGTACGGAAATTGAGAGTAAGATCTAGAAACTTGTATAGCGATTTGATATTGCCTTGGCAACAAAGCGCATTAGTCAACTGTACTTTGTATGTTTTATTTTGTTTGTGAAATAGTTCATTTTTGTTGAATTTTACTAAAGTATCGGTTTATGATGCATTCAAAATAAAAGTCCTTCACCAAAAATGATTTGAGCAGCACTGAATTTTACAAAACTCACAGATTTATATCTTCTGTCATGATCTCTCACAGAATCTTTTATTCCTTAATAGCTTTGCAACTCCACTCGAAGGGTGTTGGTAATGGTTAATATTTAGTGAACAAGTACTGTGTGCTAGGTATTGATCTAACTGTTTTGCATATGTTTCCTATTTCTTCTACAAGGTAGATACTATTATTATGTTTAACAGACATCTTAGAAGCAGAACTCCAGATATCCACCCCCTCCACACCTGTTCCTCTTCATACTGTTCCACCTGGTTACTCAAATCAAAAATTTAGAAGTCATCCTTGTTTTGTCTTTCTTAAAAAAATTAATTTATTTTCCAATGACAGTTGATGTAGGGTATTAGATTAATTTCAGGCATACAACATAGAAATTCTTAATTGTGTTTCTTTATTTCACCCCCATATCCACTTAATGAGCAAGTCATGTTGTCTCCTCCTCCAAAATATATCCTCAGTTCATCGACTTCCCTCCCTCTCCATTGCTGCAACCATGATCCGAGACCCTCTAGCATGTCTTGCCTGAACTATGATGAAAGCCTGAAGCTGGTTTCTCCTCCACAGCCCCAAACTACACATTCTCTAAACAACAATTGAGTGTTCCTTCAAAAACATAACCAGATCGTGTCATGCTTCCATTGAAAACTCTCCAATGAGTTTTTATTTTAAAGATTTTACTTATTTATTTTTAGAGAGAGGGGATGGGAGGGAGGAAGAGAGGGGGAGAGACATTGATGGAAGAGAGAAACATTGTATGAACCCAGAGACCTTTTGCTTTTTGGGTAGACGCCCAACCAACTGAGCCACATGGGTCAGGGCTCCATTGCACTTTCAATACAGCCATTACTCCTAACCACAGCCCAGAAGGTTCTATTCAGTCTTGTCCTAGCCTTGTCCATGCTCCCATAGACCATAGCTATGTGTGCTGTAACCATATGCGCCTATTTCTTTTACTTTCTTGAATAAGTCTAGCTTGTACTTGCTGCTCTTTCTGTTTGGAATCCTCTGTGCCTAGATCTCTCCATTGGAGCCTATAGGTCTCTGCTCAGATACCACCCACTCAGGCTTTATTTAACCACCCAGGCAGTCTACTCTGCCCCAGAGTCTTCCTCTGTCGGATAACCTTGCTTTATTTTCTTCAAAATACTTTTCACTCTCTGAATCAGCTTATGTTTGTTTACTTGTTTATTATTTCCTCATCCCCCTCTAGAACTAAGTGTCTCAAGAGCTTTGCCTACACTCTTTACTGTTTTATTTCTAGTGCCTAAAATAAGATTTGGCATCGGCACATAGTGTATACTCAGCAAGCATTTAGTGAGTGAGTGAATGAATGAATGAAAAACACGTTTAGAAAAATTATTTATTTTGTCTTCTGATGCTTCTTCATCTTGGATCCCCATCACTGCCTGTCAGAATCTGTTGTTTCTCAGAAGTGCACAGATAGACCACGCTGTTTCCTCTTCCCACTCTCTCAAAGATGGTCCTTCACAATGACACACATTTCAACTACATGCCAGACTGGTGTTCCTAGAACCAACTTTAAAACAAGGATACCTGATAAAAAAGCATAGTTCCATGTACTTCCCCAGATTGTCATAAAGCTGTTGGGGTAAATTTTTGCACCTATACCAACTTGGCTAACAATTTACTTGCTGAAGTCAAATGTAACCTTTTGGTGACCTTCTTTCATGGCTGTAGTCTGGTGTGAAATACTTTATGTGTTGGCTAGAATCTTCAATGACAGTGTCCTAGGAACTAAACATGCTACCTGTGATCTGAGTGATGAACAGATGGGTGGAACCAACCACAGCCTTAATGACTTCCACCTCACAGAGTTTGATCATGTACAGTCCATGTATATACCTGGATATCACAGCATACTTGCAACACGGATGACATCAAATGATGACTATGTCGATAATTCATCAATAAACTTCATTAATGTCTACTGTATACCTTTTATTATGTCTTCAAGTTTTTTTGCAAAAAAATATAAATGTTATATAAAATTATTATATATGACTCAGAAGTGGATTTTCATTCATTTTAGCTACGGTATGCCTTCTCTGTGCAGAATTTCAGAGCTTGCTGGGCTTCTTGTCCACGAACAGCTGTTTGGTAACTATGAAAAGCAGCATTTGATCATGATCATTTCCATGCCATTATGAACATGTTTTTGAAGTAAAGAGAATCTGGGTACAGCAGCAGATTTTGGTATAATGACTTCATAGTAAGGCTCACAGGAGATTGGCAGGCAAGATATTTGCAGACAGAAGATATTAGAAAAGGACAGAGCAACATGGTACTTACCGTATATTTACTAATCATTTGGGATATTTGTCATTATTAGGAGACCTGGAATCTACCTCGGTGAGTTTGGTAACCTTGAACGTTATTACAGGAAGAAATTATATAGCCTTTTTACATTTCTTTTTTTTTTCTTTCCTCACTTGCTCTTTTTAAATTTTTTTAAAAATCAACCTTTGAAAGCCAAAGGGATAAGGAAGAAATTTGCTTGAATCTGGAACTGGCTGCTGCAGCCAAGCAAATTTCTCTAAAGTGAAGTGAGGAGGGATAGCTAACATATAACTGCTTAATCACACTTTTTCTTTACTTTCAGGAAACAGGGCTCATCATGTTTCTTCAACTGGTTTGAATACAACCTTAGAGACAGGCTCTTCTCAAGGAAGTTATTTAGATGGAAAATGCTTGTGTTTCTTTATCAATGTTTGAGGAAGAGAAGAGAAGGAAAGAAGAAAAGGGAACCTACCTCCCAAATACATAAAATAAAACATAGAGTTTCACATTTTATATGTACTTTATTTTTAATAAGTCATTAGTTACTAATGTTCTCTTAATTGGTTCACTTACCAACCCTGAACTTAAAAAGCTCCATATAATTCATATCACAACATAATTGGATGAGTCTATGGAAGATGCTATAAACAACTTCATGTGATTTTTATTGGTTGTTTAATTTTGTACATGAGTATCATACATTCCCCCAATGACTTGACAATATAGACTTGGTTTTGAGTCAGCCTAAGTATTTTATAAAAGTGATTATTAGATAGACCCTGAATATTCCATTCTGTTTGTTTTCTTTTTTAAACAGATCTGTCACATAATTTTGGACAATAATCCTCTGTTCCTCCTTGGGAAACATCATTATGTTTATCTTACTTGGAGAACGCAATGTTCTATTTTCACAGTCAGATTCTTTGTGGATGGAGAAAGTTGCAGAGTTGAAGGGTCCATGTTGTATTATTCTGAGATCGTTGGAGGGTTCTAGTTGATAGCAGCTAGACGGGAAAACAGGCTCCTGCTTTGTCAGCTCTGCCTTCAGGTTTGATGGAAGAAAAGGTGGAGAGAGACAGAGGTTTCATTCCACAACAGTTTCTCACATCTTCACTATGATTTCATTCATGGCAGGGATGTATAAAGTTAACATAGAGCTTTGTGTACACGTGT